GGCCACAAACTATGACTTGAGGGCCAGGCTAGAGTCAGTGCCGGGCCTTTCGACGATGCCCAGCCTTCTTTTTTTCTTTTGTTCATTTGTTCATTTGTTTGTGACCAGTCGAGCTAGGTCTGACCCTAATAGCGCTAGGGTCGGGCTTGGGCCAGCCCTACCGTGACAACCGATGGCTCTGTCCCATTCCAGGGCATGTTGCCACCCTTGCTGACAAAACCCTTTGAATATATCCTTTAATTTAGGAAAAAGTTTATATAAGGTTACGACTTTATACTATTGAAATGAGGTGCACCTTGGAAGAGAGCGTTCCAGTGTAGGAGAATCCTCCAATTGATCATGTCAATCTCAATATGCATGGACATGAAGAAAAATAAAATAAAAAAAGGAATTCCCAGTCCAAAAAATAGTGCATTTTATAACAGGTCTTCTTGAACATTTATTATCAAAATTTTCAAGTGTTTATTGTCCTGCTGGATCTATACAATTTAAAAAATTTAAACTTTGAAAATAGATTTTGAAGCCATCATAAAATTTGAGATAACAAAAAGACATGTTTTAGCAAATTTTAGAGGTGCTCCTTTCGTCTTTTTAATTTAATCTCAAGTTACCCATCAAAGTACACATGACTACGAGATAATTGAAAAATGGTAAATTGTTGAAAAGTTAAGCGTTAATAAATTTCTATTTTTTTGGGAGATTTGAAGTGTTAATTTTTTTTTTGAATTGCTGCCATTGGTGCTCATGTTTACAAAAGGCATCAACTATTGGTTCTCATGTTTTTGAAAGGTTTCATACTCATGCATGAGTATACTATCCATTTATGGGATTGTGACTATTCATTTATGGGATTATCTATAAAGAGACCATTTATCTCTTGTATATGGAGATTGCAATTATTATTGTCCCTTAAATTTCAAAATGGTGGTTGTAAGCATATCATTGAATAGACACAAAATTTCTAAAAAAAATATTATCGGACTTCATGACTCACTCCAAGCAATCCAATTTGACATCCGAATGAGAAGGATTGTGAACTTCATATACAAAAGATAAATTGTCTCTTTATAGACAATCCCAAATATTCCCTTAAGTAAACCCAATCTTGGAGTAATTTTAGAAAATTCAAATTTTGGATATATAATGTCTTTCATCCATCAATAATGAAAATTTTCAAAACGCACTCTCTATGCACTTGCCAAAAACATAAAATCTTAAAGTTAGAAAGAGAAAGAGACTGTCCAATTTTTGGTGGATAAGATCCAAGATTTAAAAAACTCCGTATTCAAATTTTTTTCTTTTGAAAATTTTCAAATTGAAAAAATTCCTCCCAAGTAGGTTATCGGACAAAGAGGGTAGGTGTATATATCAATGTCTGTGGCTTCTATTCCCACTGGTGTTTGAAACGGGAAGGCCATGTTGCACAAGAAATGGGAAACGCCTATAGCGTTTTGGATCATTGCTCTAAGAAACTAGACTTGCTCCAAGTCGGTTCTCCGCAAGTTTTGATGAGGTTGGAACGGACCGATTGTCAAAGAAAATTTCATAATTAACTTAAAAAACTAATAAAAGGTTCGGAACTGCCCGATTGTCAAAGAAAATTTCATAATTAACCTAAAAAACTAATAAAAGCAAACTAATGGGAAAAGAGGTGTCTGGGTCTTTATACCTGGACAACCCACCAAGGGGTTTTGAACTCATTCAAGTGGTTTCGAGTCAACTCAATGATTTTTAAAATAGAGTTATATAGGGTTAAAAATGTATCGTGGTGCATTATGGTTTACTACTGCCAAACTCTATATCACATCAACAATCCACCATCCACATTGGATATTTGATGTAAATCTTTTCTCTCCTCGTTGTCTGCTATAATGGAGGAGCGTTCATCTAAACCGTTCATCAATAAAGGATGTGTTTGTCAGCTTTAAGCTTCGCCCAATGGCACAGCCGGGGTTTTTAGATAAACTAAGATATAACCATATAAAGCGGCATTTTGCTTACCTATTCCATGGTAAAAAAGAATCTAACAAATGATCTAATTTCAATTGCCATTATTAATCCTACGGTAAAACTATCACAAGCTGATAATTATCAAATGTAGCCTCATATATATATATATATATATATATATATATATATATATACAAAACATGATTTGTGTTAGTATGTAAGAGGGAATACACTATAATACAATTTATGAATAAAATAAAATGATCAAAATACCACAGAAATCTTCAAGGGGTATTTTGGTTATTATATTTTATCTAAAAATATTTTTAATATTTTATTTAGGTGCTCCTAATTGAGAAGATGACATGTATCAAATTTCATATTTATACAATTTATAAAAAAAACTAAAAATAAAATTCTCTGAGGCGTCAAATCTAAATCAAATGGTGGTTCACTTGATCTAAATTGGGGAGCTGGCTGGAAGGAAGTATATACCTTCAATGTTGTAGGGGAGGTATGGAAATATTTCCTTATACAAAAAAGATTCTCCAAATATGAGATTTGCATAATCTAGACATCATTCAAAGCAATCCAAAGAAATCCTACTTGAGTAACTAGATTTTAACATAATCAAACATAATAAGGTTTTGATCCAAAACTTGGATTTGTTACCTCGTGGATCTAGATGAGCCCTTATGTTGCTTCATAACAATAAAAGAAGTTCCTTACCGATTGTCTACCCCGAATAGTAGATGTTCAACAAAAAAAGAAAAGAAAAAAAGAAGGGTGTTTGTAAAAGAAAAGAAAACAAACCAGTTGCACTTTGTTTGCTTGCAATTACGAGGAAACTCCTTATTTCCCTACTCTTCCACACAGCAAGCACAAAGAAGGCCCCACTTCGATTTAGTGTCCTCTTGCGGGGGATTTTGCCATCTCAACCATACATTAATTTAAGGACACGGTTTCTATAATGCCAGCTTGTATATTGTAAAAACGCGGGCTTGGCAATAAATAGATTTTTTAAATATAATTGATCTTAAGTTTTAGAGAACAAATAATTTTTAACATGAAGATCATGAATATGGAAAAATAAATAAACTAAAAAATAAAAATAAAAAGTATATTAAAAAAACATTTAGACTGCCAGTTACATTTGTTTTTAGATAGACCACCTATTTGCATCCATCTTTAAGATGGATGCTTTATACCTCTGAATTACATATTATAGAAATAGGGTCCAGCCCGCAAGAAACAATTTTCCTTAATTTAATGCATGCCTTTATTAAGTAACACATGAAACCCTAGCGATAGACGACCGTTCAATATTGAAACATTGGCATGGAAACCTATGTAAAAAAAGCCCGTAACAACTGTAGGTGGATTCTTATTTAAGAAATTTTCAGCAATCTCATCAATAAATCCATGTCCAATAGATTTAATTAGATATATTATAAACAACAAATTTACATTCATGGTCATACTTATTTTATCTTCTACTTCCAAAGTTAAGCATTATCCTTTTCATAGTCAAACAAAATACGGCTTCTAAGGTCCTATTTAAAAAATATGTCAGTCCACAAGATGTATTTTTTTTTATCAAGCAAACAAAATTCATGATGCCTCTTCAATAGAACCACAATCATTTCTACTGCCCCAAAACCACTCACAATTTGTTTTTTTTGGCTGAGTCGTTGACAAGAGGGCCTCTAATCTTGATAGGAATTGAGCCTAAGACTTAGCATTACAAATCGTGAAGCGCTAATCATCTAAGCTTGAGTTTTTTTCCTAGTCACATTTATTTTATTTTATTTTTGTATCGCTTGATACAATCAAATCAAAGTGTTTTTACCATTGTTTAATTTTTTGTCATTTGTGTTACTACAATCAAGTTACATTATTCTAAAGTGTTTTAAAAAATTGGCAAGCTGGCTCCGAATTGTTTGAGCTATATTGGAACTAGTGGGGTTTTGGTATGGGTTTAAAGATGCACCACACACGCTTGATTCTGACATATTCCCACTCATTTATCATATTTTTATGGAATTTTAATGCCAAATAACCCCATGAACCGGCTTGGGCAAGCCAGTGACTGATGCAAGTGACCAAGCAAGCTTTTAGAACACTGGTTTTTTACTGCCAAAACGCCATCGTTCATCATGATACAATCATTATACTATTTTCAGTTACAATGTAACCCACAGTCTACTCTCCACTATTATATGTTAGGCAAATGGTCGCATCCTTCTTACATCATGTCAAGATTTAAAAAAATGGTGATATCAAACGGGAATCAACGGAGTCATTCTAGTCAGCAGGTTCTGGCCGGTTCAGTTAGGAATCCTCACTTTTTTCATTTTTTTTTTATTTTTTTCAATTATTTTCTATTTTTACCTCGTTTTCAGCCAGATCTAATCCAATTCACCAATCTACCGATCCAAACCTGTTTTGGGATTGGCGATTCAAAGTCACTTAAACAATGCTTCGAGCGAGCGAGCGAGCGTAGCACATTTTAAATGTTACATAACATTTGTTACATGGAATGTCATTGATTGACGGGCACACCCACTTTTTGTGCACTGCGCGTGTTCCATGGATAAGCTTTGCCCAAATACAATAAAAGTTTTATTTTCCTTTGCCCGAATGCCCATAACAAAACATCAAATCCCTTGTGTCTTATACCCTTTTTCGCATATGAACAACCCCACTTTTATTAAGAATTGCGCTTATGATCCCGTGAGTGATTAAATCATAAAATTTTTTTTGGAACTTTGGATCAAAGTTTGAATAGAGATTAATTTCAGATCTTGAAAATTCAATTATTTTCAATGTGTTTCAAAAGATTTTAAATAAAAAACTTTCAACCTTCAAAATTCAAAATAAGACATTTTGAAAAATATAAAAAACAATCAAACATGACATACAAAAAGATAAAAAAATATTTCCAATAGGGGAAATGTTTAAGAGGACATAAGGGCAAATTTCCATTCGAATCAGCAGCCGCACAAAGGCATCTAGAAACATGCTTCAGTAATGGAAGAGGGGGCGATTTAGTCACTTTTATTTTCAGAACTGGTCTTGGACGCGGCCACTCATCTCAGTTTACCAGCGAATAATGCGAGCGCACCTCCACCGTGCGCCCGACCCTCCGCAACAGTAAGAGCCCATTATTCCTCTCTCTCTCTTGGGGAGTTCCATTTCTCTCTCTCTCTCTCTCTATCTAAATTGCCGTTTCTGCTCATTTCCGTCACTGTAAGAAATCATTTACCCTGCAAGAACGAACGAGCACCCCCTGCACCTCTCGACGCTCTCCCATCAAAACCCTAATCACCTGCAACTCCGTTCCCCAAAATTCTAATTCCCATCTCCATTGAAACACAACCCACCTGCAAACCCCCAAATCCCGTTGTCACTAAAGCCCCTCCCACGCCAAAACTCTAATCCTAAATTGCCGAAATCCCTTCCTTCCCTGATGCACACAGAGAGCCAGCCCATGACCTCCTCCCCCCGAAAGGTGCCCCCTCTCACTGGCGGGCAACGCAAGATCGCCATAGCAGTCGACCTAAGTGATGAGAGCGCCTTTGCTGTGAAATGGGCAGTCCAAAACTACCTTCGTCCTGGCGATAATGTGATTCTCCTCCATGTTCGCCCCACCAGTGTCCTCTATGGAGCCGATTGGGGCTCCATTGACCTATCAGTTGATACAGATGAAGAGTCTCAGCAAAAGCTTGAAGATGATTTTGATACCTTTACCACTACCAAAGCAACTGATCTTGCTCAGCCTCTTGTTGAAGCCCAGATCCCCTTCAAGATCCATATTGTGAAGGACCATGACATGAAGGAGAGGCTTTGCCTCGAGGTTGAGAGGCTGGGGCTCAGTGCAGTGATTATGGGGAGTCGAGGGTTTGGCGCCTCAAAGAGGAACAGTAAGGGGAGGCTTGGAAGTGTGAGTGATTACTGTGTTCACCACTGTGTTTGCCCTGTAGTGGTGGTGAGGTTCCCTGATGAGAAAGATGGTCAAGGTGGTGCTCAGGTTAGTGGTGTGGGCGGTGGGGAAGTTGTGAAGAAGGTGGAGAAGGATCCAGAGTTGCACCCTGTTCCTGAGGAGGAGCAGGAGTATCACTCAGCTGATGAGCAGAAAGGTTAGGGTTCTACTTATGGATTGATGATTTTTATTTGGGGTTGATGCTTTTCCATTGCTGGTTTTGTTATTTTGGTATTGGAGATGGGTGGTTAAAGAGATTGGAATAAACTTCGCTTGGTTCTTTTTGTTAATTTTTATGTTTTCAATTTTGTTACGTTTTTCTTGGTTTATTTTTTCCTTAGTTTTGGGTGATTTGATATTGAGATAAACTTTGGTTGGTTGGTTTGTTTTGTTAAATTTGTGATTGTTTTTTGTATCGTTGGGTTTGATCGCACTTTATTTTTTCTTTGTGACAATGTTATTCTGTAATTTAGTAATGAGCTTATTGACGCACATGGAAGCAATTGTTGTCTGTTTTTATTTGATTTTGTGATGACAGTTTGTTGATTTTATGGTTTGGATCATAGTGTTTGATTGGGATTTCAGGGCACGCTAAGGTGTCAGGATGCTACTTTTTGAAATCTTTTGGCTACATTATTCAAAATTGTTCTTAAAGTCTTCTTTGATTAACATTGAAACAAATAGGTCTTGTTATCTTGATACCTTGACACCCTGTAGAGAGTATTGTAGTGCTGCTTTTGTTTTTTGACATTTTTTCTATGTTTGTTTTTTATTTGCTCATTTGTTTGTTTTCATTCCCTTTACATATTTTTCATTCAACCACAATTAAATGATTTTGTGTGGTTGATTTGGAATTTAAGGAGATGGAATTTAGCTCCCTAGCTATTTTCCCTAATTGGTTATTCTTCTCAGTCTGCATTTGTGTTTTTTGAGGATGAACATGAGACCCATAATTAATTTGCTTACGATTTACCATGACATCAGGAATTCTGTTTTATAATTTTGACCATTTTCATACTTAAATATATCTGTTAGGATTAGGTATTGTTGATTTCTTCCTAAGTTGGCAAGTGCTGAATCAAGTATGTAATGTTTCTCACATTGATTGATGGTTCATTTGAATTCATTCTATTGGTTTTATCTCATCTGGATTTTTTGTTTTCATTGATAGAATTATAGTGCTAATCACTTGATTACCTATCGCTTTCTGTGCATCCTTTTTTTCTGCTGGGAATATGCAATTTTACTCTATACTGTTCTCTCTCTTCTTTTTTTTTTAATTACTTTATCACTCTATCCTTTAGCATGTATGTCTCGGTTGCAAAGCTCTAGTTGTAAGTGAACCCAGTGCTTTCTGAGTTTTATAACATTCACAAAGTATGCATGTTGTTAATATTTGGTGGCTAGGTTTATCCATTGTTTGTTGTTAGGATGATATTTCTTTTACAACTATTTCTGTTGTTAGGATAAGAAGGATGGTTGGTTTCTGTTGATATTGCATTTTTCTACATTGTAATGCATTTGTGAGAAACTTTGAGTTACTTTGTGACTTGCTATGTCACATATGAAGCTTGTTGCCCTATGCATATCTACTTCAGTTCAAATGTATCCTGTTGACAGTTTAGGATTTTGGAGAATGCTTTGAAATCTCAAAGTTCTAGTTGCAATGCCTTTTGCTATTTTTTTTTTTTGGGGAGGAAAAGGTGGCATTGTATTACTAAAATATATGCTTACAAAAAATGCTATGATGTATGGGTTTTGGCAGCCCACAAACGAGATGCTCTTATTGCCTTTTGTTATTTGTTAGTTTGATTTCCCTCTTCTCTGCTATGGATATGGGTTTGAAAAATTTTGAAAAATTTTGTCACAACTACAAATTATAAATATAATACTTTTGGAGTTTAATGGGTTGTCTCCTTACGGTCGTTTGATGATCGAGCCTTTCATATGTCTTTCTTATATTTTGTTGTTGCAGTATGGTGATACCTTTCCCTTGGTGTGGGTTGATGTTTGGTTAGTGACTATACTCCCACAAACATATTTATTGAGAAAATCTACGGTTACTATGTATCTCATTAACTCAAGATTATTGTTAGATGCTATAGCCAATAGTGAAGTCCCATTTGGTGTCGTGATGCGTGAAGTAGGAAAACGAATGGAAGCAACAATTTATGGCGTGTAACTTAATTCTTGCTATTTTGGAGGAATGCTCTTGAATCTAAAGGTTTTAAATTTAGTCGGACTAAGACATAATATATAAAATACAAGTTTGGTAGTAATAGGTAGAACCGAGGAAAAGATTGATGGCCAAGAAATACCAAAAAGGGATTGTTGTTGATATCTTGGGTTGATAGTCTAGGAGAATGGAGAGATTGAGAAAGATGTCATGCATAAAATTAGAGTTGGGTGGGCGAAGTGGAGATGTGCATCTAGAGTTTTATGCAATCACCTCATACTAATGAAACTGAAGGGGAGGTTTTATAGGACGACTGTAAGACCAGTCATGCTCTATGGGACTGAATGTTGGGCTGTCAAGAAACAACATATCCATATGATGAGTATAGCTGTGATGAGGATGTTGAGATAGATTAATAACAAGACAAGAAAGGATAGATTCCGAAATAAATATATTCGAGGGAATTTAGGTGTGGCTTCAATAGGTGATAAAATGAGGGAAAGTAGACTTAGATGGTTTGACCATGTGCAGTATAGACCTAATATAACAGTACTTAGGATATACGATTTGGTTTAAGTGGAAGGCTCTCAAAGGGCAAGGGGAAGGTCCCAAGGACATGGATGGAAGTAGTGAGAAAAGATACGGTGACATATGGTCTTATTCAGGGTATGTCCCATGATAGAATGGAATGGCAGAACAAGATTCATCTAGTCGACCCCAAATAGTTGGGATAAGGCTCGGATGATGATGATGATGAACTTGGTTCTCGCTATTTCTTGTCACGCTTGGCTTATGTGCATGTACAACCTAATTTGGCTGTAGTCATTGCCGTTTGTGTGTGTCTTTGTGTAATTATCTTTAGGGATAAGATTTTAGACTTACTAATGCAAATATTATCAATTTTGCATGCATTGTCTTTTTTTTGATAAACGTTAACTTGCATGCATTGTTTTTATCAATGTGCGATTTAAGAGCTTATGAAGTTATGTGATGCTTTTATCAACTATAGCCTTTTTTATTTAAAATTCACTGGAAACACTTCTTAGGGAGAGTTAGGCATCTTTGTTGGTTGAATATTGCAATAGTAGCATATATAATTGAGGCTTCTCTTTGTGAATTGCTTGTCTTGGTGGCAGCTTAATGTGTTTTTGTTTTCTTTTTTTGTGATATCTCAGCCGTGGGTAAAGGTTGTTAGAGGAAGATGATATAAGTAGGCTGCAATGGGCAAATATGAGCTCCCATGAGATTTGTCAAGCAGATTGATGTGGTGGATTGATAGCATCGTGCGCTAGTAATTTCTCTAGCTTTATCCGCTAAGGCTCCATTTTGGATGTCTTAGTACTCGTATCAAAGAAATTTCCCTTGTTATCTTTATGGGCAATTCTGAAAGACTGTTGTCTTAAGTGATCATAATCATATAAAAGAAAAGAGGTGCCTTTGTGTTGGGAATAGAGGAAAATATGTTTATTTTCTTCTTGTGATGCATCTTGGGAATAAACAAGGTTTAAAAAAGTAAGCTTTCTCTTGAATGGTGGCATGCTAAATTACTCCTTAGTAGGTGTAAAATGTGGTGTGGCCCTTCTTTTAGGATTATGTGCATTGGAGGTACAAGGAAGACATCACCCTCTTTTTGCGAGGGGAATCCAAGAAATTGCACGTTTTATTGTGTCGGGGTTTTGGCAGATATCTACGGTAGTGAGTGCATTGCTCATATGGGGTGGATATCACATGCATGAGTTTTTATCAACGCCTTGTCTTATGGGATTGACAAGTTGGTTAACAAGGAATATGATGTTAGAGATTCCTCTGTACTTGGGAAATACTGATTTGTTGATTAGGTGATCCGTTCCCATTATCTTATTCATGGTTGTATTTGAGGTTTTGAATTTTATGTATATTACATCCTCAACCTTATTTTGAAGCAGGCAATGAATTGTGGGATTTTATGCTACACTTGATGGGATATTTTTTTCACTTTTTAGTTTGCTGATGATACGCACTGCTTTTGTAGGATACCTTGGAGAATTTGAAAAACCCAAGGATCCTGAGCCATTTTCGTTTGGAGTTGGAGTAGAGAATCAGTTTAATGAACAATTTCGTGGATGAGGCTAGATCCAATTATGTTATTTGGAAGCTTGATCATAATGCTTGTGGTTTGGTCCATGTCTCTTCAAAACTCTTTTTGGTTTGTGTGTGTGTGTGTGTGTTCTCATTCCCTGTTAACTGTTGAGGGTGCATTAGTAGGATAATTTGTCCAAAAAGAGACTACGGAAATTGATTTTTTTTGTATTTGTATTTGCCTTCTTTAGTTTGTATCACATGTGACATGTGTTAAGATGGATCAATTTAAGAATTTGTTTCAAAACTCTTTTGGTTGTGATTGGCGCTATGAATATGTGAGGTAATTTGTTGCTGGGTTAATATTGTCAAGCTTCCCCTCCATGAGAGCACAAAAATTAGGTTTACAGCATGATCAGTGTTCCAAGTCATCTAGAAGGCAAAACATCTGGGATGCCAGTTGGTTCTTGATCATTTCATGGATTTGCTTTTGATGATGTGGGTAAATATTGCTTGCCTTAATGCAAAATTGTGGACTGCATGCTTGTATATCAAGATGAGCTTGTCCTATAGAGGATGGTGGTCAAGCGGGTGCCATGCCAAGAACAGACTCAAGGCATAGGTAGTCAAGGTGGTGCACGACGTCTTAAGCTCCATTCCTACCACGGGTAGGGGATGTTGGGTTTGGTGATACCTAAATCACTATACCCATATTTTCTTCTAAAGATTAGGGTATTATGGGAAATAGAAAATTGACTTTCTTGGGAAGCAAGAAAGTGATATCTTTATAAGATAATGAAGTAGGACATATTACCCATCCTTTGAGGGTCACCCCTTTGGGTGTTATAGGAATGGATCTCCAATATGGAGATGGGTCTCCAAGAGAGAGAGACATGGCCTTCGAAAGAGAGGCGGTATTCCCA